AGCACCACCAGTATGTCTCAGTAACTTGGTTACATCTAATTTCTCTCGGTCTTCACTTCTTTAAATGTGTGAAGTGCTAGGATTATACATTAGCGGCTACATTCACATGCAGACTGAAGTCTTCATTTAATTCTGTTTATTCTCAATATGAGCTTACTTGGATTAAGATAATAGGAAAATACTGCTTACAAGCCAAATTCTTAACTGCAGTGTTTTAATGGGGTCAGTGAAAGGATTACGGCAGTATATCAACAAAGTCAGTGTCAGCGTTACATGACTGCAAACCTGAGATTCAGAGACCAGAGGTCTAAGCAACATTTAAAGTTTCCTTTAAATGTAAAAAAAAATAAATAATAATAAACAAATAAAGAGGGCAGCACGGTAATGCACGGCTCTTGCCTCACAGCAAGAAGGTCGCTGGTTCGAGCCTCGGCTGGGTCAGTTGACATTTCTGTGTGAAGTTTGCATGTTCACCCGTGTTCACGTGGATTTCCTCCGGGTACTCCGGTTTCCCCCACAGTCCAAAGACATGCGGTACAGGGGAATCGGGTAAGCTAAATTGGCCGTAGTGTATGTGTGTGAATGGAAGTGTATGGGTGTTTCCCAGTGATGGGTTGCAGCTCGAAGGATATCAGCTGTGTAAAACATATACTGGATAAGTTGGCGGTTCATTCTGCTGTGACCCCAGATTAATAAAGGGACTAAGCCGAAAATAAAATAAAATAAATTAAATTAAATTAAATTAAATTAAATTAAATTAAAAAGCAGTTTGTATGTATGGTAATTGTCATGTTCACCAGCGTTCTAGCATTGGAGAACTATACATCTGCCACTATATGAAATACAACTCCCATAAGTCTTTGCATTCACACACCAGTTCCTGATCCCCCCTAATTACACACACACAGCTGGAAGCTCATGATGGACTGATTACTTGATCTATAAATGCATCTCACTCACACACACACTTGGCTGAGTCTTGTATCCTGTAAGTAAGCATAACGAAGCATTGTCCTTGTCTTGACTTGTTTTATTTATTTTTTTAATCTTTGCTTTGTTTATAGTTTATGTTGTTTTGCCAACTTTCCTGACCATTCGTCTGTTTTTCCGATCACCCTTTGGATAACCTGAATGCTTCTGTCTGTTCTCATTTCGATCTTTGCCTGCCTGACCAATCTCTTACTAAACTGCATTTGGATCCTCAGCTCTGTTGTCACCTCAAGTTATTACAGAAATAATATGCAAGCGAAAATATCAAGCATATTATGGGGACAAGCAAGACTTGCAAAAAGACCATAACAATATCCTTTAAACACAATTAAACTCATTCAATTTACATCCTGTACCACCAGGGCCTCCTACAGGGCTCGAAATGAACCTTTTTACCTGGTAGTACTGGTGCTCCTAACTTTAAAAATGTGGTTGCACCAGCCAAAATTTAGTTGCACCCACCAAGCATTATGTGCACAGTTACTACAAGTTTTATATTAACAGATTTATTCCACTTGAAATCCTCCTGACGATTGAATGAAGGATTAAATAGAACATCTCATGCTTAAAATGTGTAGATTCAGTAGCAAACACTGCTACCTGAAAACTTTGTTACACATACTTTACAGTGAATGGTATTAGTAGTCTTATACACTCTTTGAAAAGTGTATTGTTAATCAGCTGTGCCATTATTTGTAACTTTAGGTGGTTTCTAAAACAAAATCTGTGCTTTTCATTTTGTCATCTTCAGCGCTTTACATTTTCACAGTTGAAGCTCCATCACCTGAAGGCAGAAAGCATTGACTGAATGATTGACAGCTGATATTAACCAATGCATTCGTGTTCACTTCTTGGGCAGTGTGCCAATCAGAAGAGCTTGAAGGCGGGGCAAGCTTTAAACAAGATGCGTTTATTGTAGAAAGTTGATGTGAGGACTGTTTTAAACCATTCCGAGTGCTGAGTATATTTAGGAGCAAAAATGCATTCTGCCTAAATGTTTCATAAATCTGCACATCTGGTGAACATTTTGCAGTGAAAACTGGTTGCACGACAACAATTTTATGCACTCGCACAAATGCTCCCAAATATATTTTGAGGTTGCATATATCAAATTTTAGGTGCAAATGCGATCAAAATGGTCACAATTTCGAGCCCTGTCTTACTGTATGTTATATGTATCAAAAATTACAACAAAAAAAAACCTTGCTTGTTATAATCAAAGCCAAGTACGTCAATAGCACAAGCAACATCACAGTTTATGATTGCTTCTAGATTGAATTATTGATCTTGCTTGTTGTAACACCGGGATGATTAGCTGGTAGGTCAGCAGCTGCACTTCAGTTAACGTGAAGTTAAGGAGGATTTCATTTATCCACTTCTATGACTGTCAGAACAAATCATGTAATGAGCTTCGTATAGTCAATTCCGTTTAACCAAGCTTTATGAATACACAATGACATAAGTAATCACAAATAAAGCTGTCAAGTCAAACACATAATTATCACATACACCTGTCAACATCGCTACACATTCAAGCACCGTCATTCCTACAGCATCATAATGACTTAATTGATTTACAGAATTCATTCATTCACACTTATTCTCAATCTTCCTGCACCGAATAGACGATTGCAGCACAAACTCATTTCAAAAGCCAACAGACCATGTAAGGACGTTAGTCAAGCTGAAATGCTTTCTAATTCAGTGTGTGTGAAGCTAACTAGCTATGCGGATGATCAAGGGTTTTCACAACCAATTTGGAGCCTTTATTTGTCTGGATCCAGATATAAGATAAGACAGGTCATTAATGCATTGCTGAAAAGGCTCACATCTCAAAGTTGTGCATCCTAGCATTTTTGCTAATTCTATAGTTGTGACTAAATAGCCAGACGTGACATGAGAGAGAAACAATCAGACAGAGACAGACAAACATGACAATTGAAGAGAGCTGTTGCCACTTCACATTTTCCTCCTGGAAGAGCTGTGAGCTTTAATTGATTTTCCATCAGTGAAATGGACTGTGGATCCCGGCTTCAGCACTTCCTTTTCTGCATGGGCATTTCTTATAAAAATCTGCTCTTCAAAACCAAATGTTGCCCTTTACAGGTATGCTCACATTTACTGTTTATCTACAAGATGTTGTGGGTCAAATCCAGTCATTGAAATAAGAATCCATGTTTTTTTTTTTAATTGTTTGTGTTCAATTTGGTCCCATTAATTCACAAAATATAAACCTACTAGTTTTAAAAGCAATGTAATGTAACTATGACAAAATGACCAGGTGAAAAAATACCAATATATAAATAATAATAATAATAATAATAATAATAATAATAATAATAATAATAATAATAATAATAATAATAATAATAATAATAATAAACAAATATATGCCTGTCACAGTATGGTGTAAAATTGATATTAGTTTTGAGAGTGGGGTAGCATAACTATGCTTTGGGACAAAATGACCAGGTCAAAAGGATCACTATAAGTAGCCAATATTTGCTCCTATAACGGATTTTCAGTCACATGTTATTTACCTTCATTTCATGTACACTTACTTAACTGTATCTGTGTAGTCTTTTAAAGTTTCCATAGAATGAATTAATACATGAATATATTAAATTGTTCTCTGATATCTACATACAGGGCAAATTTTACAATTATATACACGTCAAAATAACAAGAGATACATTTAAACAGACATTAAGGCTCTTAAGGGTGACAGTGGATACATTTATAATCTGCATATCCCACATTTTACATTCTAATGAGTTATTAACACTCTGTGGTCATGCATAGGTAGGTGCACCCGGAATCTGTGCACGCAGAATTTCGCAGATTTTTCGCAGAATTTCTGCAGATTTTCACAGATTTTTACCCTATCATTAATTCTGTTCATTTACTTGAGTAAACGTGTGTAAATCTATATTTATTCAGTTTTTTAATTAATTTCAGTAATATTATTGACCAATGTGAAAATGTTCATCTGATTTATGTACAATGCAGTTTGTACAGTAATATTTTTTGTCTTTTACTAGACATATTATGTGACAAACTTGCTTTATTTACCAAATAAAGTGAATCTAATTGGATTTGCATTTTAAACATTAAATAAAAGTTCAAATATGTTATTTTTTATTTTATATATGGAGGTTTTAGCTATGATACTCCCAAAGCAATTCCGCAGAAATCCGCAGACTTTTAGCAAAATTCTCCGCAGAAATAGCAAAAAACATCCGCAGATTCGGTCTGGCTCTATGCATAGGTGCCTGCTTCTTTACTCTTCTTTAAAATTCAATTTTAAAATTTTAAATTTCAAAGTTAAAGTCCCACATTCATAGTAAGCATAATACAAACTTAGATAAACTTAAAAACAATGGGAAAAGTGATATTCTGATGTAATTTCACTAGACAAGATCGTGGCCAATCAATCGCAGCCATATTAATGATCCTATTTGGATTATCAGAGTCACTGTTTTATTCAGATTGGCCTGCCTTTTACTGGGATGTACATGGGAACAAGGAACCAATGGAGTTTGAGACTCATGATACATTATTTCCATGTACTGAACTTATTATTAATCAGCTATGCCATCTAGACTTTCATTCTATCACTCCTTTAAATGCATATATTTTTCTTAAATAGTTTTATCAATCCAATTACTTATTACTTGATTACTATATTAATTAATAATTAAATATCACCATCAAATGTTAATGGTGCTCAAAAGTAGCAAAAAGGCATTTACACAACAACTGCAAAAACAAAATGCAACAAATTTACACCCTTCAGTCATTTCTTGCATAAACCGCTTAATTTGTGACAGCAATAATACATTTTTCCTTGTGCATAAACAATAATGCCTCTTACCCTTAAATTTGTCGGGTATTTAAGCATCACTTCGCACCAATTACCAACTATTTTTTGCATGTGTGTAAAAGCGAGCGCATATTGAGTCAGATATGATGGTTAACAAAAAGAGTTTAGAGCCACCAGCATTTCCTACCTCATCTTGGTGCTTTTCGATCCACTCCTGCACGGTTTTCAGGGCAATTTCTGCAGCCGGCTCATTGGGAAAACCTGTGGATACGGAGGAGAAGGTTTCAGTTTTGACTTTGTGCCTTAGAAAGTGACTAGCATATGTACTCACACTTTAACACTTACGCAAACATCACCATATGGCTGTTTGCTGTACAACTCACTCCACACTTTCAGCACTTACTACAAACAACAGTCTGTAAATATGAACACAAACCCAACACTCAACAATCTCACCACTTATTCATCCAAAAGGAAAAAAGAAAACATATTTTTTATGAAACCGGCACATCTGACGTAAAATAATTGGCATCACTGTTTGTACATAACCATCTCACATTCCCAAATGTGCTCTATTAGCTATATTTATCACTGCTGCTTGCCAATTCCATGTAGATTTACTGATCCATTAAGTTGCATGGACACGATCATTTACACGGGGGTCGACACACCATGATCTTGATGAGAAAGTAATGACACGTTGACCAGTAAATGTAAGAGATGATGTCACTAACTGCCATATTAATCACCAAAGCCTGAGCCGAGATGAGAAACCGGGCTTGGTGTTAACACAGCGTATCGATTGAGGAAAAAAAATAGATTGGAGGAGATTAATATTTAATATCGCTGAAAGAGAGGAGGAGGAGGAGTCTGCAAACGGGTGCCTTTTCCATTTGAGAAAGTTAATTAGTTTCTTTTTGATTAGAAACATTTAAAAAAGACACAAAATTGGCTTTCAGTGTGAAATCAGCTTACAAAAAAACAAGTTAGATCTTTTTTAATGTCAATGCCACACAATCATGTTGCATCATAGGATTCATAGGAAAGCCTGACATACCAAAAAATAAAATTCAATGTGGACATACAAAAAATGTATGTTAAAGGCTGATAAAAACAATGCAGTATGAGTGTAAAGTCATCAATGGTGTAAAGTAGCAAATTACAAATACTCAAATTATTATATTTAAGTAGTTTTTCTAAGAAATTTTCATTTAAATATGTGAACTTTTACTTTTCCTTGAGTACACTTTTAGAGTAGTATCGGTACTTTTACTCCACTACTTTCCTTTAACCTACAGTCACTACTTTATTATTTCCTGTCTATGGGGATTACAAAAATCAGTCCTGTGATTCCTGTCCAATCAAGCAATGCATTACATTACATACAGAATGCCAAGAGCGACAGCCTGGCAAATAAGTGAAGCAAATGTTTATTTTAATGTAGAATTACAAAGATTGTTATGACACTTAGTTCATGTTTGAAAATATGAGGCGCACCACACAGGGCAGTGCAATACTTTTTTATTTAGAAAATAATGTTTTGCATTTTGTCTTTTTGTCAATCAAGCACAAGCACACTACAATTTGGTTTGCTGCTCACCTTTCCATTTACTCAATAATAAAAATAAAAAAAACACACACACAATTGACATTAGGTGCTTTTAAGCTCAGAGTTGACTTTTGTACAACTTTGCAAGCAAAGAGCTCACTGAAATAGAAAGCAAGTTTGAAAAAGGCTGCAAAAAAAGCCCATTCTGTGTGACTGGTGCCTAATACAGCGATGACTAATGCAGTGAGCACAATAATTCCAAATAAATGCCCTATAATAATTTTAATAAAAATAACACAGCTGCTAGTTTCATGCACTGATCCCTTTATGTATATGTGTATGTATATATTTACACATGCGATTAACACAGAAAACCTATACAATTGTGTTTTTTTTCTCATGATGGCTTTTTGTACACTACCAGTCAAAAGTTTAAAAAGTTTAAATGTTTTAAAATAAGCTTATCCTGCATATCAAGGCTGCATTTATTTAATGAAAATTAAAGTAAAAATTGCAAAATTGTCAAATGTTATTGCACTAAAAATAAACTGTTCAATTTAGTATATAATTCATATATAAATAAATATAATATAATTTAGTATATAACAGTTTAATTTAGTTCAATAATTAATTCCATTTATTTTAAAGATGAATTTTCAGCTTAATTACTCCAGTCTTCAGAGACACTTGATCGTTTAGAAATCCCTCTAATATTAATTATTATTGCTATTATTATTAATATTATTTTTAATGGTAAAAGTTATGAAAGCAATAATGATTGGACAACTAATTTCATTTGAAACTACATACAACAAGCAGTTATTTAAATGTTTTTTTTATAAATATTTAACAATTTATTTACATTTATAAATAAATGCCGCCTTGATGAAGAGAATTACTTTCTTAAAAAAATCAAATAAAACTGACCGCAAACTTTTGAATTAATCTTAAAATAATCAGAGTCTTGTGTGGGTTTAAAAAAAAAAAACTCCAATAGTTTACAACAGATTTGAGTTCTTTTTTCTAGACATGCAATAGGATCAGTGGCTCTAAATGCATGGTTTGAGAAAAAAACTAGTCTGATGAAAGTCAAACTTGAATGTTAAATATGCCCCCTTTTTAAAGTCTGAAAAATAATCTGTCAATAGGTGTATTATTTACAAAGAAATTGTCTATACGTAGCTTTTGATTCACAAAATATAATTATTAAATGTGATTAATGATATATAATAAAAGCATGCATTAAAATAGAATTAAAGCAAGCACCTTCCTAGTTTGCATGTACTGGCACCTGCAAGTACAGTTAAAATGATTAGCCATCCTGTGATTTTTTTTTTTTTATTTTACAAATATTTCCCAAATTAAAAAATTATGTTTAACAGAGCAAGGGATTTTTCCACAGTATTTCCAATAATTTTTTAAGCAAGTCTTATTTTTTATTATTATTATTTATTTTATTTTTTTAATTTTTTTTGGTTGGTTGGTTGGAATAAGTTTTTAATTAATTAAAAAAAAAACTATTCTAAAGCCAATATTATTACCTCCTTGGGCAGTTTTTTTTTTAATTGTCTACAGAACAAACTACTATTATACAATGACTTGCCTAATTACCCCAAATTGCCTAATTAAGTTAAGATTTTGAATGTCACTTTAAGCTGAATACAAGTATCTAGAAAAATCTCAATCAAATAATATGTACTGTCACCATGGCATAGATTAAAGAGATCAGTTAGAAATTACAGTAGTTATAAAATTGAACATGTTTAAAAATGTGTTCTCTCTGTTAAACAGAAGTTGACGAAACAAATATACAGGGGGCCTACACTGTAAAAAAATTAATTCGTAAAATTTACGGTAAAAAACCGGCAGCTGTGGTTGCCAGTACTTTACCGTTAAAAACACAGTACAAACCGTAAAAGTAATTTCTAATTTTTACGGTAAACTACCGTATTTTCTTAATTTATAGATGTAATATGTCTGTATTTTGAAACGATGACCATCTACAAATCTTTTGTTACACAGTTAAACACGTTAGCACACCCGCATGCAGGTGGTGATAAGGAAGTTACATAATGAGCCAACGCTCATTACAATCAACTTTTCACACAAGCAGAAAAGAGTATCAGCATATAGAAGGTGCTCAGTGTCATTCACACAGCTACTAAAAACCAGTGTGGTAACACGCATAAAAATAAAGTAACAAAATAAACATTGTTTATCAACATTACATGTAACATAAATCTCTAATGTACATAACTGATGGGGAAACAACTAAAAATATCTATAGTAATGTCAAAAAAAAGCATAAAAAGTGATGTGCCATACAGGGAATTCTGGGAAAGTCAATTTACGGTTATTCACCGTATATATTAAGGAAACATACCATTTACCAGGTTACAGATTTGTACTGTAGCATTTTAACAGTTTTTTACCGTTGAAATTACGGCAATTTTTTACAGTGTAATAATTCAGGAGGGCTAATCATTCTAACTTTAACTGTATACAATTTATGTACAAAAAAAGCCTAAACAATTGTACTACATTTCAAATAAAAAACAATAATGACATCATAATATTTATTTTTTGTGCAGTTATTAATAAATGGTAAAGACTGTACCCAAATAGCACCTATTTTGTAAAACTGCCCTATCTGTTCCCTGTTCCCACTGCCCCTGGAGGTCTATCTCGCTGCCCAGACGATGGGTGATGGAAGACGTAATTAACACACAGTTTCAGCAATGTTTTCAGTGCCTGTTTCGCCTCTCTATCTGACACCGCTCTCCTGACGTCCTGTCTGGGCCTTTCAACACCAAATAATTCGGGGATGGGTTGGACGCGAGGGAGTCAACAGCAGCCCTGTCCTGTCAGTCTTTGCTCCATCTATTCCCTGTTTGTCCGCTCCTTCTGTCTCTCTTTCTGACAGGATGAATCTCGGACTGATTTCTGCTGCTGGCTGGATGCCTTCAGACCTAACCTTTGGGTCAAGAATGCGCTTGAGAAACTGATAAACCTATTATCTCTCGAGTATAATCCCCTTCTAAGAATCATATGAACACCAGTGTTTTTTGGCTGATTTTCACAGTAAACAAATTGAGAGAAACAGACAAAATTACTGTTTACAAATAAACACTTGACAGCGGCGTTCCTAGCTCTTCAGGTAACCTGTAAAATAGATTTTTTTGTTGCTGTTTTTTTCCCCCATGAGGGCTTTATTTGTATTGATCTGAAGATGACCAGAGCTGAGTGTGTGGGTGGAAAAACTCAGTTTCCAAATGATAACTGCAGATTTTTATTTTATTATTATTTTTGTAGGGCTTGCATTGGGATCAGTAGCCAAATGCAGGCTTTGATAAAACAATTACAGACAGTAAAGCAAGTCTGATGAATATCTGAGTAACAATGTTCCTTTTTACAGATTATTTTCATCTTTTTGTTTTTTTTTTAGAATATGCAAAAGGTACAAATTGAGATCATACAAATACATAAAATAAAACATCAACAAAAAACAAAAACAACAACAATACAGTCAGGTACTGGCAGGTGCATGTGTGTGTGTGTGTGTGTGTGTATGTAAAGGTAACTTGGTAGACAGGTCAGAGTACATGCATAAGGACAATAACAGTCACTAAATGAAGCAAGTATCATAGATATAAATAAACAGATAGAAAGTAATCTGTCAGTGGTAAGGAGTGAAAACAATGCTAGTAATGTA